AACTATATTTAAAAAAAATTAAAAAACTAGATGATTGGGTTATACTAATCTTCAACTAGAAAAAATACTACACATAATTTGGTAGTTTAAATATATTAATTTTATAATTTGATTTAATGACTAGAAAACTTATTACGTTTTAGACCATTTATGATCTAAATTTAAAAATATATTATTTTTAATTATCTATTAGGAAATGATACTTAAATTAAAATATAGAATATAGTTAATCAAAATATGTGTCACCATACCATACTATGTTTACACAAACATTCTTTATGATTTCAACATCATTGAATAAATTTAAATATGGAATATAGGTCCTCTTTTTAATTAGAATATTCTTTTTAATTTTACATTATTTTCCATTTCATTTATAATAAAACTTTCAATAAATAAATAAGATTTCTCTCGTTAAAAACGATACTCTCTTTATCTCCAAATAAATTTTATATTTGTTTAGGATATGCTTATTAAATGAAGTGGTGATGTCATATTGGTGTGAGGTCGTTGGAGTTGATAGCTATCGTCGTCGGAAGTTTCGTCGGAAAATCCTCAAAACCTCCATTAAGCTTCGAGGTAAGCTCGTAGATATATATAGTGACTAGAATGTTTGTATAGATCGTTTCTACGTTCATAAACAGTCGTTTGGTTGAGTTTTGTGTTTGACATGCTTGAAGAACCAAGAATCATAAGCCATTAAAATTGTTGTTAAAACTATGAATTAATGATACCAAAATGATCTATGAACCTTGAAGAACATCTCTATATAGTTTAATTCAAGTTCGGTGACTAAAAATGGTTTTTCCGAAAAATGGACCGAAGGTTGAAGAAGATGAACAGTGACTGAAAATTAACAGGGTGGATCGATCCCCTGGGGTATTTTTTTATAGTTTGGATCAATCCAGACTACTGGATCGACCCCCCGGAATTGTGCTTCAAAAATCTTTCTAAAAATGTTATTTTTGAGCTCTAAAATCCTATTTTTGATACCAATTGATTATGATCATTATAAGAATGATTTTTCATAATAAAAATGATGTTTTTGACAAAGGTGGATTAAGAATTTGTGATGGATAAAAGATCTAGGCCTGAGATTTTGCTATAGTGAATTGGAGAGAAACAACAATCATTTTTTTCTTGATTTTGAGAAGATACGAAGATGAGTTGAGAGAGTTTTTGAGGAGTCGGTGATCCGAAAAATTGAAGGAAGACGTTGACTCGAGGGTAAATGAGATTCTGGCTTAGACGACGGTGGAGCGATTGTGGATTTTGAGGACATGTTTCCCATAGCTAGTTTTTTTTTGGAAGAACCATGGAGACGACAAGAGGGAAGCTCTTCCTTTGACGTTTTTTTGTGATTCCAACACGGGATTTTTTTTAATGGAGAAGTTAATTTTTGGATAAAAGAAGGAAAAAAAATAGAGGTGAATAAGGTGGAACCGCCGTCGCCGGAATTACCGGCGGCGGCGGTGGAAGTAAAAAACTCTTTTAGGTCACCAAGAGCGGTGGCTCTGATACCATGTTGAAATATTGGAATAATAATATTGCTCTTTGAATTATGGGAGAAAGACCAAAGTAGGACTAAAACATTGAAAATATACCAAAATAGGACTTCCATGTTTTTATTCCCGAAATAGGACTTACATTACCAAACATGGTCATATACATTACCCAAAAAGTATAGTAATTTGCACATGTACACTGCCACATTACCACAATGCAAAGTCACATTACCACAATGCAAAGTCCTATTCCGGGAAAAAACATGAAAGTCATATTTTGGTACTTTTCTCTATGTTTTAGTCCTATTTAGGATGATTTCTATTGAATTATGAAATACATGATAGAGTATATATAGAAGAGACTCCTAATACAACTAGGATCAGAGAATGGAAATTAACTAACATACATCTACCATACATAGGAATATGAAGCTGACTAATAATCAAACACTACCATAACCAATACTACCAGAAGTAATATTAGTATTATTGTCTAACATTATGGATAATTATGAGTGATGAACCTACTGATTAAAATGATTATTTTTTAATGATTGAACCATGATTAAAATGAATACATTGATAATTATGAGATGATTTGTATTGTTAAGGATATCTAGAAGAACTCTAGGATATACCCATTTGGAAATTGATGATTAACTATTAAGGATATCTGGAAGAACTCTAACATATATTCATATTGATGTTTGTTTCTAATACTATCTAGAAGACCTCTAAGATAGATTAGAAATAGGCCTTGCGGGTATAACTATGAATATTCGGTGGCCTGTGTAAAAACTTACGTACGGGATCCACAAACCAAACTTGAGGATCACTCGTTTGGGGATACCACCCAACCCGACAGTTAGCATTCTGCCGTTCGGTTTCTGGTTGACCTTAAGCGAAGGTAAGTTTAAGATTTGAAAAACCTTTTTGAAAATTCTATCTTAAACTAGGCTTAGCTTGAGGATTGGATAAAAGTACCGTAGACTAGAATATAATTTAAGAATTGATTAGAAATATCTTAAACTAGAACTCGTTTAAGGGTTGATAAACATTAAAGAGATTGGTCTTAGACTAAGATTAGTTAAAGGATATTCTTGAATGACGAATGAGAATACTGAATGATGAATATTAAATGTTGAATATTGAATGATGAATATTGAATATCGATTGTTGAATATCTGAACTGAATATTATGTGCATGATATCAAATGAATTGATTATGAATTGAGTTTCAATTTATATGGATGTTTGACGCATTAGATATGCTTACTCAGCTTAAACGCTGAGCATGTAGTATGTTTTATTTGCTACATGTAGGTAAACAGAAAGAATGAATCGATGATTTCCTGGAGACGGATGGAGCGATATGGTCGGAATGGATGTGTGGATTTGAATTACTGTTTGAAAATGACATAAATTTGCTATGTTTGTAATTGTAATTTATTGAGCTTCCGCAACTTTAAACACTCCGTTACTCTTCCAATATATTATTATGAAATAAAGTTTTAAATGTTTGAAATATTTTGAATATTTTACGAATACCAAGTTTATACTTTAGTTCAAAAGGGGCTGCAGACCTGTACGGATTAGGGTGTTACACCTAGACTATTTTTTTAATTATTAACCATTTAAATCAAATAAATTAAAAATAATAATGTTTTCACAGCAAAAGTAAAAGAAAAAAGAAATAGAATTTGCCAAATGTATTTACAATTTTTCATTCCGAATAATAGGATTACTAATATTTTTTTATCTAAAGAGTTATTCTTTTTTTCAAGGATAGGGCAGTACTGGCACCGATGGTTGAGATTGTTGAAATGGTAAATGATTTTTTCATATCCCTCATTCCTGGAGATGAAGAGTTTTGATTATTCATTCCATGCATATTTAGATGTAAGTGTTGATGACGATTAGATAACAGTTGAGTTTTTGAATGAATTCAAATGTTCGAAGATCTCAAAACACAAAATAGTTTTTAAAAAGGGGTATCAAAATAGTTTGAATAGCTACGAAAGAGTGTTATCGATGCTTTATTGGGTTTGGGAAATAGAGTTAGAGAACAAGTTTACATACCTTGGATGAATTTGGTACCATCTGATCCATGACTACAGTTGAAGTTCTAGAGAGGACTATTCTCAATAGTTTTATGTTTTGCAATGACTATCAACAAAAGTGAAAGTCAACATTGTAATTTGTTGGATTATTTTTAACCAATTCATTTTTTATTCATGGTCAGCTTTATGTTACTATTTCAAGACTGAAGACAAAGACAAGATTACAAATATTGGTTCTAGATGACAATAGAAATCCTAGCAACCATACAAAAAATGTTGTATATCCTAAAATCTATCACAAATTTTGGTATTAAAAACACTTTGTTGAGTACATATTCTATTCTTCAAATATTATTTATTCGACTTTGGAATTTTCGTCTATAGTGTTAAAAATCATATAAGAAATATATTTTTTTATATCAAAAAAATATTACATTGAAAAAGTTTTAGAATCGACAAAAATTTCATTCGATCTCGTGCATCGCATGAGTTAGAATGCTAGTGCTAGTACATATGTAAAGTAGAGTTCATTTGTTGTAGTGTTGATGTGCATCCACATGTTCATCCATTAATGAGGTGGATATATATATTTCATTGGTCCATTTAGATTTTTTAAAAAGATCTTTTACTACATTTTATATATGATTATTTTTATACTATCCATAACTTATTTTAGTTTATTACTTCTAAATAAATGATTATATAAATTTAATCACATATGCATATTTATTAGTTAAATACTTTGTTTCCAAATTTTTGTCTTATTATATTATTTATTTTATTGCTACATATATTTTTCAACAAAGTAAACTAGAATAAAATTGGTTTAATTGTAGAGTGACAAGTGACATTATGACACATATACATTCTCTAATGATGTATCATTATGTAATTAATCCAATTTTTATTATAATATTTTGTTAATTAAAACCATTTTTATTAGTACTTAATTTAATGACCATTAATATGTAATTAATTTTGTTTTTAAATTAATATACCAATATATATTCCACCTGTTTAAAACATATTTTGTCACTACTAGAAAACTAAAACCACCAAAATTATATTTATAGATTTTGAAAAATTTAGAATATATACGAGCGTGTGCAAAGCACGGAGTTAACATTAGTATTATATGTTTTATCATTATTTTAACTTTTAAGATCATTTTTTTTGTTTTTGATGTAGCAAAGAAATTAAAAATTGTAAAATCGATACAAAAACTTCATGGGACGTGTCAAAATACTAGTTAATAGAATAATAATGAGTGTAAATTTAATTATTTAAACACCCATTCCTAATAGGGGTAAGGAGCCCAATAGGAGTAAAAAAAATGATAAAAGCCCAAAATAGGAGTGAGAAGATTAAATCCCACCAATAGGAGTCGCCGTTAGCCATCATAACCTGTCTCCGTTACCAGTAGCCGTCAAAGCCAATCGAATTACCCGTTAGCCATCATTAGTTCTTCTTCAATCAGAGCGCCAATTCACAATCGAAAAAACAGATAAATTCACAATTCCTCTGCTTCACAATTCAATTGCTTCCCAAATGTATCTTAATCGGAGAAGATGACGGACGAAGAGGACACTCGATTGGATGAAATTGCTGATGAAGATAAGCGACCTGCGACAAAGCAAATGGCGAAGCGACCGAAGGTACTGAATTTTAGTTTCCGACCTGCGACAATTGCATTGTGACCTAGTTTTGTTGTTCAATTGAGTTTTTCCAGTACATGCATGTTCTTGTTGTGAAGGATTGCATTGCGACCTAGTTTTGTTTTTCAATTACGTTTTTCAAGTTTGTGCATGGTGATGTTGTGAGGGATTACATTGTGACCTAGTTTCATTGTTCAATTGAGTTTTTCTAGTAGACGCATGGTCTTGTTGTGATCGATTACATTGTGACCTAGTTTCGTTGTTCAATTGAGTTTTTCCAGTAGACGCATGGTCTTGTTGTGATCGATTGCATTGTGACCTAGTTTCGTTGTTCAATTGAGTTTTTCCAGTTTATGCATGGTCTTGTTGTGAGGGATTGCATTGTGATTAATTTTTGTTGTTCAATTGAGTTTTTCCAGTACATGCATGTTCTTGTTGTGA